CCTTCCCCTTCCCCTCCCCACAACAGACCCCCTGTGAGGTAGGTGGGGCTGAGAGAGCTCTTGACAGAAACTGCTCTTTTTCAAGGACAGCTCTTATCAGAGCTACGGCTTGCCCAAGGTCATCCAGCAGGTGCAAGTGGAGGAGTGGGGGAATCAAACCCGGTTCTCCCAGATTAGAGTCCGCGCACTTAACCACTACACCAAACTGGCCATTTACAAAAAGGCTCTTCCTTTCCCTGAGGTAAATTTTGAAGTATGTGGTAGTCTTTCCAGTAGTTGTTTTTCGGACATGGAACTCTTCAAATTAAGCTGCTCGTCTGTATTCGTTGTCCGTTAAGAAACATGATTTTGAACTCAACAAAACAAAGGAAAAGGAGATAGAAGCGGAGCATCTGGCTCTGGTCTCAAGGCTAAGGCGCACTGCTGAATTCCCAAAAACTGCTGCCAGTCACCGCTTGCTGTGGCTGGTGATTCACAGGAATGTTTTCTCACACGAAGCAGTACCTGTGGATGAACATTGGGATCACAGGGAGGAAAATGGCCAGTTGGCATGGATGACTCAGCCTAAGTCGCCCTAGTTCTTTATACAAGTTCTTTACACATACTTCTTAATGCAGCGAGTGATTAAAATGTATAATTTGCTGCTAATGGATGGTGTCAGGCAGAGATGGTTTTAAAAGGAGATTAGATAGATTCATGGAGGCGAGGCCCATCAGCCATGCTGACTAAAGGGAACCTCCACATTCAGAGGCAGTCTACTTCTGAATCCCAGAGCCAGAAGGCAACATCAGGGGAAGGCCGCGGCCTGTCTGCCCTGTTGGTGGCTAGTCAGAAGACCTGGCTGTCCATTGTGTGACACAGGATGCTGGACTAGTTGAATTGTTGGTTTGATCGAGAGCAGCTCTTTTTAATTTATTTATTTAATTAATTAATTTATTTATTTTTGGATTTGTATCCTGCCCTACCCATACGGCCCAGGGCGGCTAATGTTCTTAGAAGACGGGGACGGCAAAGGATGAGATGGTTAGACAGTGTCATAGATGCAACGAACATGAAATTGAGCAAACTTCAGAGGACCTAGCGGGATCTGGTCCATGGGGTTGCGAAGAGTCAGACTCGACTGTGCGACTGAACAACAACAACAACAAAAGTTTTGTGTCACTACAGTGGTTCTCTTAATAAAACAACCAGGTCATCAATCTTTCTTTGTGGATGCGTTTTTGAGACTTGAAAATATAGACTTTAGAAGACGAAAACCAAGGTCAGGACCCCAAAAATTCTGAAGCGAGTTCCCTGAGTCCAAGGCCCTTATATTTCCATTTCCCAAGCGGTGGCCCCTCCTCAGCTCATAGCATACTACTTTTGAAACTGAGGGAAGGTTCAAAAGCAGTCTGTGAAACAACAGGGGGATCAGAACCAGAGGTCATTTCAGGGGGAACGCGGGGGAACGCCGTTCCCCTGGGTGAGGTGCAGGGGGGCGGGGCACGTGACGAAGCCCCGCCCCCTGCTTCCGGCCACCCCGCTTCCAGACCTCATTCAGCCAGGAGGAGGCAGGGTTCTCTTAATAAAACAACCAGGTCATCAATCTTTCTTTGTGGATGCGTTTTTGAGACTTGAAAATATAGACTTTAGAAGAAAAAAACCAAGGTCAGGACCCCAAAAATTCTGAAGCGAGTTCCCTGAGTCCAAGGCCCTTATATTTCCCTTTCCCAAGCACTGCCCCCTTCTCCTCAACTCATAGCAACTGAGGGAAGGTTCAAAACCAGTCTGTGAAACAGCAGGGGGATCAGAACCAGTTAAAAATGGTTGCTAGTTAGAAAACAGAGGGAAACACATGGTGTTGTTGAAAGCTGTGGTGGAACGTAACAGTTGTTCTAGTGGTGATCGGGCTATTTGGACACCATGGCGTGATTTACAAAGGAAAACGCGGCCAAAATATTTTCAGTGTGGAACAACGGATCAGACCCCACATTATCTAACACCACAAACGGGAGAAGAGTTTCGGAAATAACCGTTTTCCTAGCATATCCCTTTTAAGTCCGATACAGATGCTGCAAACCGGTTTTGTCTGATTTTTTCCATTGGTACAATCTGACTGATTTGGTTTTTTAATAGGGTTGCCAAAAAAAAAACCCCAACCCAATGGAGGCAGTTGTTCCCCCACTTTCTGGCCCCCCAATCTGCTGCCGGCCAGCTGGTCATTGGTGGAGCCCCACCCCTGAAGAGCCCTGTCACGGCCAATATGCACAGCACAATGATGTCACCCGGAGATGACGTCATCATGCCGGGCACATTGTTGTTTTTTTAAGTAAGTTTTATTAAGTTTTTAGAATACACAAAGATGGGACAGGGGAAAGGGGAAGGGCAGGGGAAAGAACAAAAATAATAAGACTTCTGCATATAACTTTCTCTATTTATCATTTCATATTATACAGACATCGACTGTGGGGTTTTAAAAGTTCATAAAAGCTTCTTGATATCATCGTATTTAGGAGTTCATATCTTTATCTTTCTCTCTTATCCAATTATAAAATGGAGCCCATAGTCCAACAAAATCTTCTTCCATTTGCCCTTTTAACATCAAAGTCAATTTGTCCACTTCCGCACTTTCCATAATCTCCACTATTAGGTCATGTTCAGAAGGTATTGATGGAAGTTTCCAGTAGGATGCAAATACGATTCTAGTTGCAGTTACTACATGAATTATAAAATATCTTTGGTTTTTATCAAAGTCATCTGGTATATCGCAGGGAGGGCCGGATAAAAATACTAATATAAATAAATAAATAAAAACAACTCTGGTCCAAAAGGTGTTGAAGTCTGCCAAACTGTCTAACCCAGAACTTACACACTATATCACATGTCCACCACATATAGTAGAACGTACCCACATGTTTTTTACACTTCCACCAACTATTCAACATTTTTGTACATTTTAGCTAGGCACCGGGCACATTGTGTGGGGGATGCTCTAGCATTTGGGTGAGAACTGTATGGTGACGTCACTCCCGGGTGATATTATCACAGTGTGTGCTTCATGCACACACCAGAGGACCTCCAGGAGCTGGGCTGGATTCCCTCACCGGGACCCAGGTAAAACGACAACCCAATTATTTAGACATAATATAGTCGCTGCAGTATAGTCAATGAAGTCATTGCCTGCAGTATTCTAAGACCTGGCATTAACTTGTCCATACCAAAACGAAACAAAAAAAAATCCCACACCTCTTTTCCAAAGAAAATTAGATGTCAGAAGAAAGTTGTTCTGGCTTAGCTTTCTCCCTGACATTCTACTTTGTTATATGATGTGATCCTCTGCGTATTTGTGTGTGTGTGTGTGTAAAAGATCATTCAGTTCTGTACCTTTCCCATCTGCAATTTAAAATCGTCTAGCCCAGACACAGATATACTACTTCCATGGCAAGTGAAGAAGAGAAGAAAGGCTGCATCTTCTTCATGGTCTCTGTGCATCACACCTCTGGGATATAGTGCGCACTATATCCCAGAGGTGTGAATGCACAGATGACCACTCGAAGATGATCAGTTACAGGCAGAGGTCATTTCGGGGGGGAATGCGGGGGATCGCAGTTCCCCCGGGTGAGGTATGGGGGGCGGGGCACATGACGAAGCCCCGCCCTTTGCTTCCAGCCACCCCGCTTCCAGCCCTCATTCAGCCAGGGGGCGGCAGGAGAAGAGGGAGGGGGGGTTGCTTCCTCCCTGCCTCTCCCCACCCCTGCCTGCCTGGGGCCAGGGAGGGCCTTGGCGGGGCTTCCTCGCACTCCCA